CCTTGCCCTCTCTCTTTCCCTCCTCTGAGCCCTCTTGATGTGGTTCCCATGTGGTTTAATAACTGGTTCTGTGTTGCTTGTGTACGTAAAAAGGCGTGGCTCAGACAGAGTAAGTCTCAGAAAAGGGATGAAAATTTCTCCCGATAGTAAAGGATGTGGTTGGTTGGGAAGCCTAATAAATAACTGAAGACCGCTCAATCACGAATTCCGAATGTAATTACTGAAGACCTTTGTTTTTTCTTTTCTTTTCTTTTCTTTTCTTTTCCCGTTTCTGTATGTGATCAGGGTGGTGGATCGTTTGAGGTGGCGGCATGGCACTACTTGATGAACAATGTCAAGAAGACTGTACAGGGGGTATGTATTGCCAATCCTCTTGTTTGTCGGTTGTAGTTTCGTGTGTGTGAACGAACGTATGCTTCTCTCAGCATGTTTTTTTTTTTTTTTTTGCTCTCTCAGAGTGGGGCCTTTATTGGATCTATCTTGAACCATGACATCATTGCGAGTCGACTGTGATGTGAAGTGGCATTTGGTTGGATCTTTTTTCGCTGAAAGACTACCTTCGTCCCCCGAATACAACGTACAGTCATTACAGCTGTATCTAGACTGAAAGATGCCTCAAATACAGCTATAATGACCGTACGTTGTATTCGGGGGAAGAAGGTAGTGTTGTGAGTTGATTGTGAAGTGGCTTTGAGAGTTGAAGCAGACAAACGTAATGCAGGCAAGTTTGGAAGTGCAATAGTTGGGGATTGAGGAGAGGGCGAATCGAAGACGGGTATCTTGCTGGTGTGTTATCGGGACCGCTGCGCACAAGACAAGGAAACAAACAATGTCCGCATCTTGACGACCAGTCGAAGGATGACGAAGCGCCGGATGGAAGACAGACGTCCCGGACGAGTAAAACAACGAGGTTGATATGGGGCCTGCTGCGCACAAGACAAGGAAAATAAAACAAACAATGTCCGGATCTTGACGACAAGTTGAAGGATGACGAAGCGCGGGATGGAAGACAGACGTCCCAGACGAGTGAAACAACGAGGTTGAGATCATTTTGATAGGCTGACAAATATTATCACTACGATAATAATGATGTTGCAAAGCTGGTATGTTTTCCCATATCAAACAGAGGAGAGAGAGAACGGACTGAGGGAGGAGCTTTTTGGTGAGCGGTGGCGTACCTGAATTGTCGGTGTGATGTGATGTAGGATGGATGAAGTCGGTAATTTGCCCATTTATGTAGCTGTGTTTATAATGATGCCCTGCTTGATCTATATGCGGATTATCGTCATCGAGGAGGGTGATCGTATCTGAGGTCTTGCTTAAGCCGCTGCATCATTTCGGGGGTTCTGATGTCTTTCTTGTTGATGTCCTTTTTCTTGTTGTATCTGATTTGCAGCGCGCCCAACTGGGTGTTGAGGCCTTTGCAGAGTCTCTTCTTGTGATTCCCAAGATCCTGGCAGAGAATTCGGGTTTTGACACGCAGGAAGTCCTCATTACGCTACAGGTTAGTGTATGCAGCCAGGGTACCAGAGCGGCCCGGGACCACCACTTGCATGGCCGGGCCAAAAAAAAAAAAGAACAAAAAAGTAGTAAAAATTTACTAAAAATAAAATGTAAAACAAAATTGTTCGATCTTTGTTTCTGTTTTATTTTAAATTGGGTAAAGAATTTCGATGTGACCCTGAGGCAAAAGTTGTTCAGTTTATTTTTCTCCATAGTTTTTTTTTTTTTTTCGGATCTTTTTTCAAGTTATTAACTTATTTATTTTTTTGCTGGGATCTTCCCCTGGTCCTTGCACAGCCGGGCCGCCCGGCAAACCAACCTTGGCCGGCCCTGGCCTGGCCTGGCCTGGCCTCGCGTATGCAAAATTTCTCTGAGTCTCTGAAAGCTCTGTAAAACTTTGTTCCGCCATCTGTTATTGTTATAGGCGACCTGAGAGTTTTGTCGTCGGTGTTGGAATTTTTCGGGTGTGCTTTTAGCACCATTTTGTGCGGAGATGCAGCGTGGGCATTCTTTTCCTGCAGGCCATTCTCTTCCATCCCTGATCTCGGGGCTGCCAATTTCTAAAGATTCGCTCTTATCTTAATCCTGGAGGAATGCATCCAGTCTGCCATCCTGTCTAGAATCTAGAGACTTCTCAAATATCTTTAGATCATGGAGTGTACTCCTGTGGTGTCGCTTCCATATCTGCAAGCGTGCGAGTGAAGCGAGGTATGATGGACGTCAACAGGGAAACTTTTGCCTCGACAGTTCTTCACCCGGCCGATTTGCAAAATATCAATGGGCAAGCTTCTTGTGATGCATGACTTCATTTAAAAAAAAAAAAAACACAATTCAGCGGAACACGTGGAGCAGTCATGAGGAGGAGGTTTCCACATAGCAGGTGGAGCCAGGAACTCTTTGTCATCGTATTAACTGCACTTTTCTGGAAGGGGGTACCGTTTTCGCTCGGCGATTAAAGCGCTGTATTTGGCCCAACTTTCAGTCTGAGTACAACCATAATGAACCGGCGTTCTGTACGGGTAAAGACAGCAGCCAGGCTCGTACCTGGGGGGCAATAGGTAGCAGGTACCGGTCACGTTTCTCAGTCGACGGCATCTTTTGCGAGGACGGAGGAGAGGTTAGACTGGCAGAGTCGTTTTTCCGAGTCCTACTGCATCCATGTATTTGGTCCAGCCTTCAGTCTAAGTACCCAGCATTCTGTTCGGGTGAGGACAGCATCGAGGCTTGTAGCTGGGGAGCAATTGGTAATTTGGTACCAATCGCGTTTCTCAGTCGACTCCGTCTTTTTGCAAGGACAGAGAAGAGGTTTGACTGGCAGTTGTTTCTTTGAGTCGAAGCGGTGGGCCTGCAGATTTGGTGGTTGAGGCTGCAGATTTGGTGGTGGGTCCTTGTGGCAGTGCAATTGCATAGAGTCAAGACAGAGCCTTGCTGCTGTGCTTCCATGGGAGTTCTTTTTTTTTTTTTAAGCTATTATTTTCCTGGGCCAGAGTTGATCAGGATGCCCGCTTCCCCCGCTGGCTTCATTTTGAACTATGGATGGGTGTCTTCTCCACGGGCCCCATGGACCAAGGTTCCACTAGCAGCTAGCAGAAAGGACTCGGTACGGCGCCTGAATGTGGATGGGTTTTGCATGGAGATGCAGCAAAGCTGGCCTAAAATAACAATCTTTTCTGCACCTTTTGCCAAACACACCATGTGCGAGGTTTTCTTCGGTCAAACGGTTCAACCAGCCGTGCCTCAGGGGGGGGATGGTGGGGCATAATCAATCATGGACCGATGATGATCAACGGCGCGATGAGGTTGGAAAAAAAAAAAGGAAAAAGAAAAAAAAAAGCTTGTGTTGCTCATGTTGCTAATACTTTTTTTTTTTTTTTAAGTAATACTTCCTATTGATGGTAGCTCCCAACTCTCTCTAAAATGAAATGGAATACAATCCTGGGTTAAAAAAAAAAAAAAAAAAAGAGAAGAAATGGAATATCGGAATACCTTCTTGTGTTGTTTTTGATAATATATAATGAAATGCAATTACAAAAAAAAGAAAAGAAGAGTATCCGGGGCTGCTATCCGTACTCTGTCTGAAGAACGTGATTGAAGTACTGCTTGGATCCGAATGCACAACAGGAGGAAACAGTTTTCATGCAAAAAAAAAAAAAAAAAACCCCTGCATCATTGTCAGCTGGAAAGTGTGTCGTTTGCTCTTTTTCTCTTTCCTTTTCTTTTTTTGTGTGTTTTGTGAAATCACTAACTGTGTTGTTGTCTGTTCTTTCCTCTTTCCTTTTTTTTTTTTTTCCTGTTTTGCCGTCCGAACATGACGCGCTGCAACAAACGACGCGTTGTTCCCAGCTGCTCGAAAGTTGGTCGTTCGTTCTGTACTTTTTTTTTTTTTTTTTTTTTTAAATAAATGGCCCGGTGCCCCTGCTGCAGAGGTTGTCTCTCAAGACTACAATTCATGGAGGAGTGAAGCCCCTGGATCTCCGGTCGGGGTTATTGCCGGGTGGCTCGCCACTACCAAAGGAATCTTCTGCTTAGTTAATTTTTGATTATATGCTTAAATGGGGTCACCGGGGTGCTCCTGTCCTACCTGAGATGAAAAGAAAAAAGATCACTCCTCAAATTACGCGTGTCAAAAAAAAAAAAAAAAAGAACAAAGGACATTAGCAATNTGTTGTCTTCGTACCTGTTTTCCAGTCTGAACATGATGCGGGGAACCCTGCTGGACTCAACATCACCACAGGGGAACCGATGGATCCGGCGACAGAGGGTGTGTTCGACAACTACTCGGCAAAGCGGCAAATGCTCAACTCAGCGTAAGTGCTTTCATATCCATAGGTTTGAGGGCTACACTTGGTTGCTGACTGGTCCGTCACTTGAGGTGAACTGGTCCTTTCGGTACTCTTTCTCCCTCTCTCTGTGTATCTGAGGGCTTGGGGAACATTCTGTTCGTCCGTTTCTCTAAAGGGGACCAGCCCCTTGCTCTCATCGTATCGGTGAGGAGCAGGATTTCAACTTCTCCATTAGCATACGATAAGAGGTGTAGAATTGTGTTTCCTTTTGCTTGCATGTTTTTCCTTCTCTTGCCGTCCAATGTGCCGACTGTTGTCCTCCCCCCGAAGACAACACGCCCTGATCATGAATGTATACAAGCTATACTTCCAGTCTGATGCAGTCTTGATGAGGGTGAGTTATATGTTTGGGGGAAGATGGTAATCTCGTTATCTTATTTGGATTCAGGCTATTAGATGACGATCATTAATGTATACAAGCTATATTTCCAGTCTGATGGAGTCCTGATGAGGGTGCGTTATGTTTGGGGGAAGATGGTAATCTCGTTATCGTATTTGGATTCAGGATATCAGATGACGATCGTGAATCCATACGAATGTATATTTCCAGTGTGATGCAGTCCTCATGAGCGTGCGTTATGTTTGGATTCAGGCTTTTAGAGTACGTGACTTCTGCGCTGTCTGCTAATGCCTTCCTTTGCCGGACATTTCGCCCGCCCTCGTCAGAACTGCTTGAGACTGGAAAGCTCGCTCTAGCGTTGTATGCATTCGTCCGTCGGCTCAAACAATTATGGGTTCTATAACTTGTATCTTTTTTCTTTCTTCTGGAAACTTTGAGAACGCGTTTGTTTGATGGTGCGCATGCAATGCATGATTCTCTTCTTATATGTAGGGATTGCCGGCGGGCATTTGCATGCATGATAACAATGAAATCTGATCGATTTTCTTTTTTCTTTCTTTTTTCTTTCTTCTGGAAACTTGAGAACGCGTTTGTATGATGGTGCGCATGCAACGCATGATTCTCTTTTTATATGTAGGGATTGCCGGCGGGCGTTTGCATGCATGATAACAATGAAATCTGATCGGTTTTGTACCGATGTCGCTGTGGTGCGCAGGCCTGTCATTGCTTCGCAGTTGCTGCTGGTGGATGAAGTGATGCGCGCAGGCCGCAACATGAGGAAAAGTTGAGGAATTGGAACGACAACAATAAGCGGCTGCCAGCGGTGCGGGATTCTTTGTTTGGGTGACAGGCTGTTCTGGTCGAATGGATCTGCTTTTTTTTCTTGCTTTTCTTTTCTTTTAGCGTCATTCTCTGGCGGGAGGCGAAGAGTCTTCAAGAAGGTGTGTTGAAGTGAGAAGAAAGGTCGTTGTTCCGGGGCTCTACCGACTCGTCTTCAAATTGTTGAAGTGAAAGGTTGTTTGTTGTTTGTTGTTCTGGCGCTACGGACTTGATATATGTGTGTAACATGCAGAAAAATGCTAAAAGATGGTCCGAGGGCGTGGGACAAACTGGGACAAAGTGGGACACTGTCTTCCTTATCTCAGCATGTTGTGGGATGTGAGAACTGGAGCGATCGTCTTTGGCTTGCCACTGTTGTAGGTGGCGCGGGCAGCAGTGTCGATTGTGAGGCTTTAGGCGTTGGTTGGTTTAGCGGTATATTGGTCATGGATTACGAAGCGAGTACTTGTCTTTTCTAAGCTAGTGGATCTCTCTTGTTTACTGCGGGACTCTGGGATTTTCTGGGTAGGTGGTCCTTAGAGGGACCCGAAGATTTTTGTCGATGTTTCGAGGGAGGGATGTGGTTTAGGCGGGTATTGCAGCGATGTTTTGATCGTTTGCTCGGTGGCGTGTATTCTTGAATGTGAGACTACTTTCCCTCACTTTCATTCTCCTCATGTACGTTCCTCGGCCTGCTTCTCCACCGCACCATCCTTTTTTATTTCTTTTTCATTTTTTTGCCCCACTTCCCCCTTTGTTTATTGTTCTCCTGCCTCCCCCCCCCCCCCCCCCCAATTTCCCCATGTCTTGTGTTGTTTGATTTGCCAGGAAAACCTACTCCTCCCCTCTCTGGAGTCTTTTGATACGACAGACAGGAAAGGCTACTTTTGAAGCAAGAAGCGAATCTGTTGTTTTTTGGAATTACGACAACTCGTGAGTTCTCAAGAGGCTCTGCTGTCAGACCTCTGGAGACAACACGAGTTGTGTAGTTTTTTAACTTTTTAGTTTGCGTTGAAGTAGGCAAATGATTGGAGAATCATGTATACATACTATACAATTATAAATGATATGATGATTACACGTGCTGCACACCAAATTGCAAACAAACGGTGCCCAGACATTGCATGAATCACAGCACCTGCACTCAAAAAAAAAAAAAGWAATGGTTTAAAAAGAGCATGGTTCGTCAGATGAAATACACTCACATAATAATTGGAGATACCACAAGCGAATACCGCATAACCTAATTGGCTATACAAGTAGAATAAGCAACAACCCTTTTTAAATCATTTAGACTCTCTCTGCTAATTGCTTTTGATATCCTCGTCGTGTATCTTCCGCGGCTGTGAATGCGGTCAGATACATCCATGAAAGTCGACATGTATGCGAAGTCGTGGATGCAGTTGGGAGGATCTGTGGGATGTCGGCAGAATGGCCGTTCTGTGTTGTATGCTTGCCTTCTGCATGAAGGGCGGGGAAGTTGGCTTCTTGACTTCTGAGGCAATGCTCTTATTATCTGAGCGCACTTATGGATGGCTGTTGACGCATCTGACCAGAAATAGATATGGACGGCCCTCGACGCATCTGACCACAATTACGTCCTCTGGGGTAAAAGCTAATAAAAATTCCTGTCCGAGTACATATGCCGTGAAGCGCATAATGTGTCGGCTTCAGAAGTAGAACGGTGCTCTCAAAAAGGTGCATGCTACCTTTTTCCTGCGAATGCAATGGACGGACGGTCATGATAGCTGTATCTGGGGTATCTGTCAGTCTAAATTCAGCTATAATAACGGTGTACGTTGTTTTCGTGGGAAGAAGGTAGGACTTTCCTTGATGTACCTGGCAGCAATTAAAGCCAGGGGTGGGATGTATCTGACTGCAATCATGCCCAGACCTAAGCCGATAAGGTCCTTGGTGCAAGTATGCCCTCAGCGGGAATTGTAAGAAATGCTAGGCTGTTTTTCGGGGCCCCCGACACCCAACTTCTGCCCGGGTACGCACCCGGACGCCCGGTCAGGCATGACCCCCGGGCAGGGTTCTGGGCCAGCCTCAGTCAGTGCAAAAAAAACAAAGAAATTCAGAAAATTCCCGAAAAAAAACATATGTAGTATGGTATGGAAATACAAACGACTTTTGGCTGAGGTTCACATTATAATTCCTCACAGAATCGGAAGTTAAAAGAAAAGAATATAACAGAATCACACGAAGGGACCTCCCTTTAGACCCCTTCAGCCCCTTTAAAACCACAGAAAACCAAAACAAAAAAAACACTTTTTTCAGTTTTTTTTTTGCACCCCCCGGGTGCCCGGCCGGGCAGAACCGGCCGGGCGTGAGAATCTTCCTAGACTGGCAGTACATTTCCCAGTTATTTTCGTCCAACGCGCATTGCCTGCTGCTGCAACTTTTGGGCACTGGCAGCGGGAGTAAAATGGCTGCTGTGAGCGGCAGCCAGCCAAAATGAGGCCTGCGGTGACTCTCTTTTGTTCTTTTGGTGCGCAGGGCATTTGGAGCTCCGGGCGAAAGTTTTTTTTTTTTTTTTTTTTGTTTTGGCGAAAGTCACTTCTTACAAGTACTCAGGTGGGTTTCAACCACCAGTGCGTTTCCCAGCTGTTCTCCAGAAATGCGGCGGTAGATTCAGAAGCCAACGAGAATACTCTTTTTTTTTTTTTCATCCGTGCGCAGAGGCCATGCTAATCTTCTGTGTATCGTTCCAATTTTAATGGATGTCCGGAAGGACTTCTTTTTTCTTTTTCTTTTTCTTTTTCTTTTTTTTTTTTTTCTTTTTTCTTTTTTGTTTTCTTTCCAACTGGGTACGTATGTAAATGCAGAGAGGATACTAGACATATATATCATATATATATATCGTCAAACAGAGCTGCCGACGGTAAACTGTAAGCAGAGAGCCAGAAGAGGACAACGACTGAGGAGCTGTGACAAACTGTTTCGTCGGAGTTTCACCGACTCATCAGGGGGTATAACAGTTTGTCACAGCCGCCCCCCTCGTTTGTTGTCCTCTTCTCCCTTTCTCCCTCTCTGCCCCTACGGTTTACCGTCGGCAGCTCTGTTTGACGATGTATATCATAAACGTCAAATTTAATTATATTAACCGAATATACATTTTTATAAATAAGAAATGCCTGCACCTGCTGGAACATTATTGAGGGATGCTGGGATGTCCGGTGTCCCATGGCGACAACCTTGGCGACGGCAGAACCGCAGGGAACCGAGCCCAGCAATCCAGGGTCTGTTGATGGGACCCAGATACAACGTGAGCTAAAAGGACTCTACTGGTCACCGTGTGAAGGGGGGGTCAAGGGGGAAAAAAAAAACCAACTCCCTCCTTACAACCCCCAGACCAAACTAGTTGGGGCCTCCTGCACCTGTTTGAAACTGGCTCCAGCAGCCACTGAAAACTCTAATAGGCGAGTAGTTTCCCACCAACCAAACATCGGATACCACATCCTGCGAGCCACAATATATAAATTTATAAAATTTATAAACCTTCCACCACGACGTCAAATTCAACCCCTCATTAGTCCCTCAAATCCAACCCCTCATCAGTAAGTACCCCGTAGTCCCTCCTCTCGATGCTCTCATTCATTGTTTACCCCTTGACAACTCCCGCTCATTTGGGCAACTTCGTGTTTTTTTTTTTTTTTTTTTTTTGAAAAACTTGCTGCCACGCGAGGAGGGGTGATATGCGCACCCCCTCATAGCGGGCCGCCTGGTTGCTCCAATCTATATTGGGTGGGAGCAGCACCTGCTGGAAAGCGGGTCCAGCGTCCCATTTACATACAAGTAACTGTTAGATTAGAGGCAGGTTAGTGATAATTAGGGATCATAGTTGTTCAAGAAGCGCAGGGGGCTCAATTTTGGAAGTCTTAAGTGATTTGGGATCTGGGTGTGCAAGGCGATCTGGGCCTCAGGCCCGCAACCGGAACTGGGTAATGGGTCCCGGCGCCACTGGTTTCACATCCGGATTTGTTTGTGAGCGTTGGAAGTCGGCTAGGCGTGGGGACACGGAGCCTGACGAACTTCAAGTTGTTCGTTTGAACGGTGCACACACCCAGAGTATACACGTCTTCCGTACGAGTCATCATCCGCCACAGTCACACATTCACAGCAACGCCTCACTTGCAGTATTCTCCATTGAATCGAGAGAGAGAGAGAGAGAGAGAGAGAGAGAGAGAGAGAGAGAGAGGATTCTATGAAGCGATGGAAGGAGGAGGCTTGTCCTGTTTGTGTCTTGCAGAGATGTTGGGCATGGTGGAGAGAGAGAGAGACAGAGAGAGAGAGAGAGAGCATGAGAGAATTAGGTGCGGAAAATCTCGATTTGAAAAAAAGTGGGAATCAGCGGAAGAGCATTCCTGACCTCTTTGGTTGTTTCTGTCTTGAATGTAATAAAGGAATTCTATTCTTTTGAATCTTTTCGGACTCCCCCCCACCCCCGCCCTCCGAAAAAAAAAAAGGAAAAAAAAAAACACAAGAAGTGTTGAATGTAATAAAGGACTCCTCTCCTTTTTGCCCAAAAAAAAAARAAAAAGAAAAAGAAAAAGCAATGCACCTTTTTTTTTTTTGGTGAACGACAAAAAGTACTATACCTGTATTATTGCGAAGCGTCGGGCAATGGTCGCTCAAGCTAGGTATCCATTCTTTTTACCGTTGCAAGAAGGATGCAAACATTGGGGCTCGCTGCACTGTACAGCGTACTAAATGTATCTGTTGCCTGCTAGAGGTCTGATAAATTCAAAATGTTCGATCAGTTCCAAATGTATCTCGTCTGTGTGCCTGTCCAGATACTTGTCGTATGTAGCACAGTGGATGGAGACCCTTTATGTACGTCAGGCCATTACGATCAGTGCCAGCCCATCTGGGTCCATTGCAGGGGTCATGTAAATGATGTTTTCTACTTCCAGACTTTTCTGAAGCGAAAGGCGCACGCTACGTCTGATGTGCTGCGATATTCGTCAATGGGGCACCTTTTCCGTGCCTCCCGTGGCCCGGTCTGCAATGTGCCCTACGCAAACACAAATTGTGACCCCCCCTTCGCCTCTCTCCTGCCTCTTTTCCTCTTACCAGCCCTCTTTTTCTTTCTTTTTTTTGCCTCCCCAGAGGCAAAAAAGAAGGGGGAGTCCTTCGGGACATCTGTTAAAATTGGAACGATACAGAGAAGATTAGCATGGCCCCTGCGCAAGGATGACACACATTAATCGAGAAACGGTCCAAATTGGCAAATAAATTAAAAAAAAAAAAAAAAAAAAAAAAAAAAAAAAAAAAGAAGAAGAAGAAGAAGAAGAAGGGGTAAGGAAAAGAGAGATGGTAAGGAAAGAGAGAGAGAGGTGGTAAGGAACATGTTCAGACTCTTCAGAGCCCTGATGACCAACACAAGGGGGGGCACAGAAGGGGTCTTGTGGCGTTCATTCACCCACTGTTCAGGAGCGAGGCGTGCTCTGTAGCTTTCTGCAATGGAGCCCTCTTAGTGTACTCACAGTACGATGATTTTCACTGATGTCAGGACGTAAATGTGGTCAGATACACCCGGGCCAGCTGTGATTGCGGACAGGTATCAGGATAGAATTGTGGTCAAATACACCCGGACCAGCTGCGATTGCGCACAGGTACATCCAGGAACGTCCTAGGCGCTGA